AGTATATTATTATATAATTAGATAATCTTATAATGCAATTATAATAGTTAAAAAATTTCTATTATTAGAATTAATAATTTAAAAGATATAAAAATAACTATGTATATTATTTTTTTCAAATTAATAAATAATTTAAGTAAAAAAACATTATTTAATATATATATAATAAACAAAATCTATATATAAAGGTAAAAACAATTTTATTTATTTTATTTAAATAATATATTTTAGTCTTTTTTAATATATTACTTATTGACATTTTGTTTTTTATTATTATTCAAATTTATTTTTTAAAAATAAAATTTTGTTAAAAAAATACAAGAAAAAAATGAATGAATAATGAATTTATTTTATAATTGAATTTTTTAAAATAACTAATAAAAAATATTTAAATAAACTATTCTTATAATTAATATTATATATTTATTTACAAAATATTAAATATATTATTACATATTAATTTTATATAAGATAGACCAAAAAAACATATAAAATAATATTAAAGATAAATGATATAAAATATTAAAAAAAATACCTATTATTAATGTATTAATATATATTAAAAGAAACATCAAATATATTAAATGATTTTAATTACCAATAAAAATATGAATTTAAATATAAAAAATATAAATAATTATAATAATTATAAATAATATATATAAATAAATATTTTATTTTAAAAAAAAATACATTAATAAATAATTTTTAACCTAAGATAAATTTAATAATTAATAAAAAAATAAAAAAAAAAGAATATAAATATAAAAACATGGAAATCGAACAATAGCAACCCCAAATATAAATTCAAAAAAAAAAATTGAAGAAAAAATTCCTTTATATCCAAACGATTTGCGTGATTTAAAAAACTCTTTAAAAAATTTCGTTTCAAAAAAGCTATTCAAATACGACCAAAAGATAAACGGTTTAATTTTGCAAATAAAAAGTGTTAAAAGAGAATCTGATAAAGCCTAAATACATGATGAGTCTCCTGTATTATTTATTTCTTGTTCATATAGATTGAAATATTTGAAATTATCCCAAAATGATTTTTTAATAGGGAAAGTATTATAAATGTTCACTACTCATATAAGTTTGCAATTCTTAGACCTTTTTAGTGTTCTTATATACCAAGACGATATTTCTCAAAAAATATTAAAAGTAGATGAAGAAAGTAGTGAATGGGTAGTAAGTAAGACTAATTGTGTCTTAGAAGTAGGAGATATTATTTAGTTTTAACTCAAATTTATTGATTTTTAAGAACTAGGAGAATTTATGCTAGTTGGATTTATCAATAATTCTAAAAAAACAGGAGTTTTAAATAATATAAAATAAAAATATTAAATAAATAATTTAGATGAAGTATAAAAAATTGTTAATAAAAGCTTAGTTAAATTTAATAAGATTTAAAATTGAAAATTTAAATATACATATACATATATAATTAATAAATTAATATTTTTTTATTTATTTTTAATATGTTTATATTTATTAATTATGTTTTAATATATTTATTTATTTATATATTTTGTTCAAATTTAAATATGAATATATATATATATATATATTAAGATTTTTTTTTATTTTGAAAATAAACTTTTTTTTATTTTATTTATAAAATAAAAACAAAATATACCTTTTTTACAAAGAAATAAATAAAAAAAGGATAAGTTATATTACACTGATTTTTTTTTAAAATTTTTTTTTATAAAATATCAATATATATATATAAATATATAATAAAAAAAATAAAAAAAAATAAAAATGGAAACAGAACATATTATATAAGAAAATTAAATTCAATAAGAATTAGAATATTAAAAATTCTAAAATTTAAATGAGAAATCTTTAAATCAATATTACTAATAAGATGGTGAATTTAATAAAGACCTTCTAATCGAATAAATAGTAAATTAATAAAACTGGAAAAAACAATTTGAAGTATTAGACGAATTAAGGGTTTTAAATAAATTTTAAAGCCAGTTTTTTTGTCTGAAAGTACTTCCTTTTATATATTAACAAATAATCCTTCTAATAGATTCAGCTAGGTCTAATTTAAGCAAAAACACATTAATTTTATTAACGGAAATGTTTTAAATAAATAAATTAACTATCTTTGATTAACATAATCTATCATTTATTTACCAAAAAATTTTGCTAAAGGCCATTTGTGATAAATAATTTATAAAATAAGAGGCAAAAAATGCTCTTTAGTAAATAGAAAATAACGAAGATGCTCTATGTGAGTTTAATTTAATAATTTTTTGTAAATTTTGCTTTGATAAAAATCCATTTATAAGTGAAATTGCATGTAATTCTTTGTTTTAAATAATTAATAATAAATAAATGTAAATTTAAAATATAAATGAAAATGGTTATTTGTTTTTGTTAGATACTCTTGTTAAAAATATAAACGGAAAAAGGGCAGTAATAAAAAACTTGTCAATATAAATTTGCAAAATACTTTTTTAAATTCATGGAAATAAGGCTTTTTAATAATTAAATGAAAATTAAAGAAATTAAATTAATTCAATTGTTAATTCATAAAAAAATGGTTAAAGGGCTTCTATTAAAGAATTCATTTAAAATAAAGTCAAAAATTAATAATAAATTTGAATATAAATTACTTTCTTTTTTTTTTAATAGATAATATTTTTCTTTTTTTAAATTTTTATTAATTTTTAAAAATTAATAATTAAAAAATTGTTAATATGTATATTTTTTTAAAAAAAATTAATTATAAAATCAATATATAAAGAAATTTTATATTTTTAAAAAATATGATAAATATTAATATTTTTATATAGAAAATATATATTTTAAATATTCCATATATATGTTAATAACTTTATTAATAAATAAATATCTATATTTATAATAAATAATTATATAAATATATAAAGATTTTATAAATATACAAAATAAATAATTATATTTAAGAATATAAATAAATAAAATAATAAAAAATATCTGAAAATAATAAAATAAAAAATGGAAATTGAAAAAAACAACATAACTCAAATTTTAAATAAAATAGACATGAAATTAACTTCAATAAAAGACGCTTCGTAATAACTTTTAGAATTTACAACTGAGGAAAAAGCAGATACTTTGATAAAAGAATGGCTTAATAATTTTCTTGTAAGTAAAAATAATGATACACGTTAACTTTGCCTTTATTTTGTTTTACATGAATTATTACATAGAAGTTTATCAAGATTTTTTGTTGAAAAGGTTTATGATTCTATAGCTTATTCTTTAGAGTAAATTTCCGATAATGATAATTTATAAAATGAGCTTCTAAAGTTATTTAAATTGTGGATTTAACACGATATTTATTAAGATTAATTTATTATAAGATTAATTTTTAAACTTAAAGTTGATGAAGAAAAAAAAATTAAGTTTTGTAAGATTTACTAGCTGAAAATTTACCTAATCATCCTTAAGAATTAATAATATTTTCGTAAAATATGAAAGAATTAACAAAATATGTTGAAAAAGTAAATGAAAATAAATAAAATATTGAAAATAATATTGATGCTGAAAATAATCTTAAATAATTGAAAAGAAATAGTGAATTAGAAAATAAATATAGATAATTTGTACTAAAAAATTATAGAGATATTTTAAATTAAATTGATAAATAACATATGAAAAGTGTAATAGAATTAAAACTATTCTTATAAAAAATATAAAAAATTGAAAATTTAAAGAGTTAATTGGAAAGTTGAAAATTTTATATTTTTACTAAAAAAACAATTTATTTTAAAAGAATTTTTTATAAAATAATTATATAGATTTTTTATTAATTTAAGACAAAATATAAAAAAAAAATATATATATTAAATAATAAAATATTAAATATTAAATATTAAATATTAAATATTAAATATTAAATATTAAATATTAAATATTAAATATTAAATATTTATATTTATATTTATATATATAAAAAATTGAATAATAATTATATATAATTATTTTATATATATATATTTTTTATTTATAATTTTTTTTTTATTTATCTTTTTTTATTTAATAATTTTTATTTTATTTTTTTATTAGATATTAGTTATTATTTTTTTTAAATTTTTTTTCAATCTTAATATTCAATTTATTCTTCTAAATTTTTTCTAAGCTTTTCTTGTTTTTTTTATGTTTTTTTTTCTCCTTCCCATCTAGTACATTCCTCTAAAGCCATTTAAATATGTTTTCTATATCTTTCATCATCATTAGCATATTTAAAAATAAGAGCTAATGCTCTATAAGTATCAATTAATGGAATAAATACTTTTTTTCTATCTTCTTCTTAATACATTTCTTCGAAATGCACTGATAAAAAAAATATATATTTAATATAATTACTTAACATTAAATAAAATAAAAAACTTTAAATTGTTTAAAGAATATCACAAGCTTCTTTTACAACCATATTATCTTTATTAAAGTCATAAATTATTAATATTATATATAAATAAATTTATAACCTGTATTATCATCGTCATTTTAATCATTATTTTATTTAAAAAAAATTTTAAAATATTTATACCAAATCTCTGAAGTCTTTTCAAAAATATATATATATATATATATATGAAAATATATATTTAAATATATATAATAAAAAAAGAAAAAAATAGAAAAAAATGTAAATATATTAAATAAATATAAATAAATATATATAGAGATATAAATAAATATATATATATATATTTATATACAATATCTATAAATATACAATTATATTATTAATTATATATTTAAAAAATTTTATTATTTAAAATGTTAATGTTTATATATATATATATAAACATATATATACTAATATATTTTTTTTTTATATTTATATTTTTATTTTATTTTTATTTATATATTTATATATATATTTTTTACATATATATATTATTACATTAATCAAATGTATTTATTTTTTAGAATTATTTACAAATATAAGTAATTATTTTTATATTTTTTTATATATATTTTATTTTTATTCCAAAAATATAATACTTTTCCGTAAAATGCTTCAGCTTCTGGTATAGACTTTTTTTATAAGAAAATGTTACCCATTTAAAAATAATTAATACTAGTTCTATAATCTTCAGGACCATATTTCATACAATCCATATAAATCTATTAATTTACATTTTTTTTTTATATTTTATATTATAATGATATATATACTCCATTCTTTAATTCATCTAAAGCTTTATTATAATCTTTTTAAGCTAAAAATAGTTTTGAAAATGTTTTGTGTAAAGTACCTCTGTAAGATAATGCTTCTCTTTATTTTTTTATATTTTAATTATATTAATAAATTAAATTTTATAGTTCATATTTTATACTCTTCATCAATTAATTCAATGTCTTTTTTATTATCATCTTATCCTTAATTATCATCTCTTTTTTCTAGTTTTTTATTATATTTAGAAAAATTCCAATAAGCAGCAATTAGGAAATCTTCAGCTTTTTTTAACTATTTTTCAGCTATTAAAATATATTTATTTCAAAAATTATTTTTATTTAGATATATATGTATAAATTTTAATGCCTATATATGATTCTGCTAATATAAAGTATCCAGGCAATAATAAAACTGAGCTTTCTCCTCCTAAATCCTATTTTTTAATATTTTTTTTTAAATAAATATTTATAAATTGAAAAAAAAATTATTATCAACTTCTTTTAATTCCATTATAGCCCTATTTACTTCTTCTATTGCTTCCTTTATTTTTATTTATAAATTTCTTTTTTCAAATATTATATATATATTTTTTACTTATATTTAAGTATCAATTAATAATGCTTTCGCTTTTTCAACACTTTCTTATAATTCTTTTTCTATTATATTTTTTTATTAATTTATTAATTAATTTTCATTTTTACTGCTTGTGGTAAGGTTCTATCTTTTTTTATCCTTTTTTTCACCGTTATATGAAATATTTTAGGCCATATTTTAAATAATTATATAATTTAATAAAAATTTTAAAATCTAATAAAAAAATATTTATAAAAAAAAAAATATTAAGTTTCAATTATTAAAAAAAATTAAACAATATATAAATAATATATTTATATAAACTAATAATGATTTTTATATTAAAACATAAAATTTATAATTAATAATACAAATATATTCTAAAAGATATTTAATAAACTATAAATTTTTAAATATAATTATTAACAGAAATTTTTATAAATAATTTAAAACTAAAAATTAGATATATACTTAGATTTAAAATATATTAATATATTTTTTAATAATTTAAAATGCTTATTTACATTAGTAAATAATAAAAACAACTTTAAAAACATATATCAAACTTTTAAATTAGAGAAAAATATTAAGATTAAATTAATTATTATGATTGAAAATATACATCTTAATTTATATTCTAAATAAATGTAAAATTAAAATAAAGTATGTAACAAATTTTTATATTTTGATAAAATTATATAAAATTAAACTAAAAATTTGTATAAAATATATAAATCTAATTAATTAATAACAATTATATTAAATTTAAAATTAATATTTATATTCATAAAATATTAAGATAATATTTAATTTCAAAAAAATATGATTTATATTAAATTTTAAAAATAAAATTTTTATTCATTTTAAATAATTATATAAATAATATGTTTTAAAATATTTTTAAGAATTAGTAATAATTATATATTTTTATTTCATTTTTAAATAAAAATTATTTCATTTTTTTATAAAATTTATAATATTTAGTATAAAATTAAAAGAAATTATTATGTATACATAGTTAATTAATATATATATTATAATATAAATATATATATATATAAATATATATATATATATTTATATATATTTAATTATTATATCTTTTTTTTTATAAATATAAAAAAATAACTCATTATAATGCAAAAATTTTTATATTTTTTTTTAAATGCTTTTATATGTATATTATATTATTTAATTTAAAAAAAAAGACTCTATTTTTTTTTTAGTTAATTCATTAAATATATATATTAAAATTTTATATATATTTATAAATGGATAAATCAAATAATAATTAAAATTAAGACGATTTTTATTTTTTTGAAAGAGAGATAAATTCCTTTTAACAAATTGAAAATCTAAGTTTAAATTATTAATTGTAAAAATAATATGAATAGATGGAATAAGAAATAAATCTATAATAAGAAAATTAAAATTAATAATAATAATAACAATAAAGTTTTTAATATTAACCTCCTTATTTAAAATCAGAACCTTAGTAAAATAATTATAATTTACTTGCTAATTTAATGGACGAACCTTAGTCTAATCAAAAACTGAATGAGTTTTATTAAAATAATAAGATACTTTAAGGAGTAAATTGTTTTTTTAAATTAGATTAAGAAAAAAATAATCCTTGTTAAAATTTTTCTGATGATCCAAGTTTTTTTTTGGGGAAAATTTTTGAAGAAAACAGCGAATAAAAATAAAGTAAAAAAATTATTTTTTAATTAAAAAATAAAATAAAAAATAAACATGATTATTTTTTTATATTAAAACTATTTTCAGGAAAAAAATAAAAATAAAATATATAAATGTAATTAATTAATTATTTGTTATATTTTATTTTTAAAAAGTCTAAAACAACTAAAAACGCCATTATAAAGGAAGTTTTGGAAAAACAACAACCTTTATGGATAAATTAAGTTTCGCTATAGATGATTTTCTTGATAAGCAAGACCCAAATGATTATCCAGAATTAGCAAAAGGAGAAGATTATCTTTTACAAAGAGTATAAAATTATGCTTTTGTAGAAGAAAGGAACATTGATAAATAAAGTTTTTATTTCGAGAAGATATTTAAAGAAAATTATAGTAGATTTTTATAAAGATTGAAATTATTAATGGATTAAAAAAGATTGGATGGTCGTACTTTTTTATCTTTTTCATGTAAATTTGGGATAAGTATAGCAGAATAGCTTTTAAATTTTATAAAAAAATGTGATGATTCTTTTTGTTTAAATTTAATAAAAAATCAAGAAAAAGATAATACAAAAATAGAAAGACAATAATAAAAAATTATAATAATAATAATAATAATAATAATAATAATAATAATAATAATAGAATAAATTATCTGAATAAATACTAACACCTTTAAAATTAATCTAAGAAGAGTCAATAATACCTTTATAATATATAGAAAATGAAAATAAAAAGTTAAAATGCGACTAAATACAAATAATAAATTAATAAATATTTCAAGAAATGCCTTTTTAAATAGAAAAGCAATAAAGAAAACAATGGAACTAACAAGATATAGAAAAAATTCTAAATCTTTGGCGATAATACTATCCAAAAACAATACCTTAAAACCGTATAGAAGAATTAGCTAAGATTTTAGGAAGATCAGTCAGTTCATTATAATCTAAAATTCAAAAAATAAAAAAAAATAACACTGATATACCAATAAATGTTAGTAAAAATAATTTAATTTCATCTTTCTAAAACTAAGATAATAGTAAAAATAATACACTTAATGTTTAATAATAATAATAAGATTTAAACACTAAATAAAATTTATAAGGAGGACTTTCAATGGAAAAAATGCTCAAATAAGTTCTATTAGAAATGCCTAATTTTAAAGCTACAAAAAATGCCATTTTCGAAAAAATGGAAGAAAAGTTCTTCCCTGATCTTAAAATTGATAATTGGAAAAAAAGCGCGAGTTAAATTTTGAGTGCTAATTTTAATAAATAAAAAGGAGTTTTCGGTCTAAAAAATGATGTTTAACCAATTATTAATATTGATAATAATTCTTCATATAAGTAAAAAATTATTTATATTATTTAATAAATGTAAGGCAAAAGTGGATCTTTATAAGATATTTGTTAATAGTATATGGTCTTTTTTGAACCAGTAGATGGAAAAATTAAAGATAATATTTCAAAGACACTCAATTAATGTGATGTATTTGATAAGACATAGTCAAAAACTGTTTATTATATATAAAATAATAATAATAATTGTAATTTTGTAAGTAATTAAATGTTTTTATATAATTAGTATTAGTTGTAATTGCGATTTTCCAATTTAATTGGAGAATCGATGCTTTTTTTTTTTTGCGTCTTTTTTTGGAAATTATATGGCTAATCTTTTATATAAATGTATATAATAATGGGTTAATTTTTTTTTATTTATTACTAAAATAAAGATTATTTTTTTAATTAAAATAATAATAATTAAATTAAATAAAAATAAAAAATCAATAATTTTAAATTCAATAAATTAAAAGATTTTAACTTTTTTAATTAATATTTAAATAAATTTTAATATATATATATATATATTATAAAAATAAATTTTATATTTTTTTAAAATTATTTAAAAAAATTAAAAAAAAAATATCATTTATAAATAAAAATATATATAAAATAAATATCATATAAAAGTTATTTACTAAATAATAAATATTTATAAAGAAAAAAAAATAAAACTAAAAAATGAGTTATCTTCTCGTAAAAATAAATATATATTAAATATAAAAAATATTAAAATAAAAAACAAGCAACCTACAATTCTTCTTTTAAAAGACGGAACTGATTCATCTTAAGGCAAAGGATAAATAATATCAAATATAAACGCTGTCTAATCGATAGTTGAAATCGTCAAAACAACTTTAGGTAATAAAAATAAAAAATAAAAAATAAATATAAAATTATAGGTCCTAGAGGTATGGATAAATTAATCCAAGGCAACAGAGGGGCTACAATTTCAAATGATGGTGCCACAATCTTATCTTTATTAGATATAGTACATCCTGCTGCTAAAATCTTAGTTGAAATAGCGAAATCTTAAGATGATGAAGTTGGTGATGGCACAACTTCAGTTTGCTTACTCGCAGGTGAGCTTTTGAAAGAATCCAAATAATTCATAGAAGAAGGAATGCATCCTTAAATAGTCGTCAAGGGTTACAAATAAGCCTTAAAACTTGCCCTTGAACACCTCGAAGAGACCGCTTACTCAATTGACTCCAAGAATGAAGGCGAAAAACGCGATATGTTATTAAAATGTGCCAAGACAGCCTTAAACTCGAAATTATTGGCCCATTATAAAGACTTTTTTGCCACCCTAGTTGTCGATGCAGTCCAATAGTTAGAAACTAATCTGCTTGATAAGGACCTTATAGGTATAAAAATGGTTACTGGAGGTTCTATTACTGAATCTTTTTTAGTAAAGGGAGTTGCTTTTAAAAAGACTTTTTCTTATGCCGGTTTTGAGTAATAACCTAAGAAATTCTAAAACCCGAAAATTTGTTTACTTAACATTGAATTGGAATTAAAAGCGGAAAAAGAGAACGCCGAAATCAGAATAGAAAACCCAGACTAATATAAATCTATTGTTGATGCCGAATGGGAACTTATATATGAAAAACTGAGAAAAATAGTAGAATCAGGAGCCAATATAGTCCTTTCAAAACTCCCTATAGGTGATTTGGCAACTTAGTATTTTGCAGACAGAAATATTTTCTGCGCAGGAAGAGTAGAATAAGAGGATATTAAGAGAGTATAAAAATCAACCGGGGCTATTATATAGACAACTGTTAATGGATTATAAGTAGAATCTTTGGGTACTTGTAACGAATTCGAAGAAGTCTAAATAGGTGCTGAAAGGTATAATTTATTTAAAGATTGTCCGCATTCGAAGTCTTCTACTATTGTACTTAGAGGAGGTGCAGAGTAATTCATTTCTGAAGCCGAAAGATCACTTAATGATGCTATTATGATTGTCAGGAGATGCATTAAAGCTAACAAAATTGTACCAGGAGGTGGAGCTATTGAACTTGATATTTCTAGAATTTTAAGACAACATTCGAGAAAAACTGAAGGAAAATTATAATTAGTTATTAATTCATTTGCTAAGGCTTTGGAAACTATACCTAGAACTATTGCAGATAATGCTGGGTTGGATTCAATTTAGGTCTTGAACAAATTAAGATAAAAGCATGCTAGTGATCATGAAAACGGAAAATATTTTGGTGTAGATATTAATTCTTAAGACGGAACTGGTAACAATTTAAATAATTTCGTCTGGGAACCTATTATTGTTAGAAAGAATGCTTTCTCAGCTGCAACTGAAGTATTTATTTATATAAAAATATATTATTATTTTTATTTAATTTTTATATTTTATTATCTTATTTTTTTAAATAAAAAAATAGGCAGCTTGCACTATTTTATCCATTGATGAAACTGTTAAAAATCCAAAAAGTGAATAACCTAAGGCTCCACCTGGTGGTATTAGAAGAGGAGGTCCTTAAGGTATGGGCGGATTAAACAAAAATATTAAACTTGGAAAATGATTTGTTTTCATATTTTTATTTTTTATAAATATAAAATTAAAAAATTCATATTTATTAATATTAATATTATTTTTTTATATAAATAAGTTGTTAAATTTTATTTTTTTAATGTTATTTAAGGAATTATTGAATTTTTTTAACCGAAAAATTTATTAATATAATTTTTTTAATCTTAACTATTTGTATTTTTAAATATTAGAAATAAATTTTTAAAAATATATTTCAAAAATTAAAACTTTATATAAAGATAATTAATTATATAAATTTTTTATTTTAGAATAAATTATTTTTTCAATAACTAAAATTGATATAAATGTAGTTATCAAGATTTTAAAATATTATTATTTTAATTATGATAATAAAATAAAAATTTTTAAAAAAAATAAAAATTATAAATTAAAAATATTTTATATTAAAAATAAATAAAAATATATTTATAATTAATTTATTTTATAATAAAACTACTAACTAATAGCAGTGCAAATAATGCAAAAAAACTAAGCTAATTTAAGCTAGTATATTAGAATATATACAAGATAAAGCCATATAGTATGAAAAACAAAAAGGATGATAAACGTGTGGTTGTATCCGTTTCTCACACCTACAAGTTAATTTGAATGCTGATAAATTTAAAATAAACAACAAACTGTTAATAAAATAAAAAAATTGTGGAAAAGAAAGTAGCATAATAGGATATAGTAAAATAAAAATAATATTTTTTAGAGAAGAAGGGTTATATAATGTTTATTTTAAAATGTAAATTTAAATAAAAAATTCTTAAAATAAATATTAAAAAAATTAACAAAAAATAAATATAAAAATACATTTTAAAAAAGTAAATAAAAGGCATAAATTTTAAAAATAATTGCAAAAAAAATAAAAAAAAGCTATTCTATTATAATATAAAAATATTTATATTAATTTATATAAATAAAACAATTTCTTAATAATAATAATAATATTATATAATATAATATAATATAATATAATATATAACTAAATTTTTTTATTTTTATTTATGTGAATTTTATGTTTTCAAAACTTCAGCTTTTTTATTTGATTTTTTAGAATTATACATTTATTATTTATTATTTTCATTTATTTTACAATTATTAAATTCAATTCAAAATTGATTTATTTTTTTTATTTCTCAATAAATATAAATTATTTTCTCATTATTTTTATATTTTTATTTATCTTTTTATATAATTAATATTTAATTATTTTCATAAATATAATTTATTATTTTTTATATAATAAACATATTTAATTAATTACATAATTTGCTTTTTTTTTTTTTTTTTTTTTATTGTATTTTTTTTTTTTTTTTCTATATTATATGTTGTATTTCATGATTTTATTTTATTTTATTTATAAATATAATTTTTTTTTTCTTTTTTTTTCTCTCAATCATATTGTTTTATGAGGATTTTATTTCTATGATTTATAGCCAAATTAATTAAACAATCTAATAACTAAGGTGTTACTTTTCCTTAATAATTATTTTCTTTCGAATCTAAAAAAATAATATTATAAAAATTATATATTAACTAAGAAAACTTTTTTTTTTTTAATTTTATCATTTAATTTTAAATTTACAATTCGTTAGCTTATTTTAATATTTCAGGATCTTAAAAATTTTTGTTTGATATACTTTTAATTTAATCAAATTAATTTTCGTCAATCAAATCCTAATTTACAACTTATTTTTCTTCGTCCATTAAATTATTTTCATTCTCTTCCTTTTATAGCTTTTTTAACTTTTATTGATTTTTTTAAGATTAGTTAAAAAGAATTTAACAAGTTCTTCCTTTTTCTCTGCTTTCTTTTATTTTTTTTATATTTTAAGTTCATATCTTCTTTTTTTCACTTAAATTTACTCTTATTAAGATTTTTTACTTATTCCTTTACCTTTATAGTATCTGTACTTTTTCTTTTCTTCTGCTAATTTTTAAAATCTGTTTTTTTTTTACAACAAAAATATATAAAAAATAAAAAAAAAAAATATTTTTACTCTAGATTATCAGTTCTAGAAATTTGTAATTATTCATCTTATTTTTTTTAATACAAAAAGATGTATCTTAGCATTCTTATTGAATTACAAGTATATAAAAAGTTTTATCAGCTTTTTTATCATGCTCAAAACCAAGGGGTTTCTTATTATTTTATTTTAGTATCTAGCAAGCTTTCTCATGTAATTCGTCTATTGATAATTTACATGATTTAAGTTAGCTTTCAGGAACTTCGTTTTAAGGTCTACATAAACAATAAACTTCAGGATTTGATCTCTCTAATTTTTTTAAATAATTTATATCGCAACAAGTACTGAAATAAGAAGGTGTCTTATAAACTAGATTAATTGTATCAAAAAGGTGTTTTTTACTTAAGTATGTTTAGTTTTAGATTTCTATTGATACTTTTTAATCTTATTCCTTTATTTAATTTTATATAATTTATTAAGACATTTAAATTGGATTTAGAAATAAAATTTATTTTAATTATTTTTAGAAAAATCATTATTTAAATTAGAAATAAAATTAAAAATAACAAAAAATAAAGTAAATTTCCAAAAAAATAATTTTAAAACGAATTGAAATTTAATATATTTTTCAATTTACAATTTTTTTTTCTGAAAGTTGACTTTTAATTGAAAAAATAAAATTTATATATAATTAAATAAAAAAAATATATTAAAGGAAATTTAATTTTTTCATTTATAAAAGTATATTTATAACATTAATTTAGTAAATTAAATGAAAAAGAAACATTATTAAAGAAAAATAAGATCTTCGAGTCCAGAAATGGAAATAATTTCAAAAAAAGATTTTTGGAAAATAGTTAAATATTATTTAAATAGAATATATCGACTAATTTATGTATATAATTTTATACGAATGAAGAAAATACATAGAATTTTAAATTGGAAAAATTAAATTATAAAAATGTTTAAACAAAAAATAATAGTTTTAATTATTAAATGTATTATTAATAAAGATAATATTTTGATTTTTATTAAGAATATAATAAATTACATGATATTTTGCAAATTTTTTATTAGACTAAAAAGAAAAAAAAATATTAAAAACCTAATTTGTAGTAAATAAAAAAGAAATATGTTTAGTTAGAAATTGAAAATGGTATAAACGATTTCGATTATTTGATTAAAAAGTATGGACTAAAATAAAATTAAGTGAAATATTTAGTTCATAAACATAAAAATCAAAAGTTAAATTGTTTTTAAAATTAAAATTCTAAAAAATAAAAAGCAAAGAAAGAAGATATTTAGGTCATAGAACACTTAATGGTAAATAATAAAGATAAAAATAAATCTTTACTTTAATCTTATATTGAATTTAGATAAATAAAAAAATAATAGAATTAAGTTAAAATAATTTTTTTCTCTTAATTTTATTAAATAATTAAAAAAAACTTAAATATTCATACAAAAAATCATTAAAATATAAACCTATCGAATTAACATAGAATATAATTAATAAAAGAAAAAATACATGCATTGAATTAATAAAAATATACAATCATCCATAATTATACCCAGTGTTTATAGACGAATCAAGTTTTAATATTGATTTAAAAAATGATTATGCATGGGGAAAAAAGGTTTAAGAGTTGGAAATTAATAACAAATAAAATAATCTAATTATTCTCTTTTATGTGCAATAACAATAAATGAAGTTTTAGTATAGCAAATAGGAGGGATAAATTAAGAAAATTTTTACCATTTTATGTTAAATTTAAGCAAAATTTTAGAAAATAAAACATATGGAAAACATACAATATATTTCATAGATAACGCAAAAGTTCACCATAGTAAGAACTACATAAAAAAATATATTTAAAAATAAGAAAACATATTATATAACACAGAATATTCATCACCACTTAATTATATTGAAAAATTTTTTATTCTTGTTAAGAATAAGTATAAAAAAAAGATACAAAAAATAAAAAAGAATTATTAATAAATATATATAACTCAATAAAAGAAATAAAAGAAAGATATATAATTGGTTGCCATTATAAGGCAATATAAAATATAAAAAAAGGATATAATGGTGAATTACTGAAATGAAAAAAAAAAAAATAATAAAGTTAATTTTGTTAAAAAATTGTATTGATATTATAAAAAAAAAACAATTAAATAAAAAAAAATTAAGTTTGTTATAAATAAATAAAAAAAAATTAAGTTTGTTATAAATAAATAAATAAACAAATAAATAAATAAACAAATAAATAAATAAATAAATAAATAAATAAATAAATAAATAAATAATTATTATTTATATTTATACATATATTAATATATTTATAAAAAAAAAATAGAATAATAAATTAAAAAATATAATAAATATTTATAAATATTTTTTTTTTTATTATTATAATTTTAATTTATTTTATATATATAATAATTAACTTTTTCTTATATAATAATAACTTTAATTTAATTTTTTTTTTTTTTTTAATACATATTTAATCTAATAACAATAATTTTTTTTTTTTTTTTTTAAATATTAAATTTTTTTTTTTAAATAATTTATATATTTCTTTAATTTTAAATAATTGCATAATTATCAATTTTTTTTAAAAAATATAATAATTTAATATGTAATTAATATATATCATTTTTATATAATAATTTAAATACTTTATAATCTATATATTAAAAATAATTATATAAAATTAAATTAATTATTTTTATTATTTATTTTTAAAAAAAAATTATATATTTATTTTTTTGTAATTTATTATTATATTTAAATGTATATTTTATTGATTAAGAAATATTTTTTTTATTTATATTTACTTATAATATATTTTTTTTTTTTCTTTTTTTTTTAATATATGAATGATAAATATATTAAATTTTTATACATATTTTTTAGTTAATTATAAAATAAAATAATTTTAAGAATTTTATATATTTTTACAAAAGTATATTTTTAAATTTTTTAATTTTATTAACTTTTTTATTATAATTAATCTAAAAAATATAAAAAAGTTTTAGAATAATATTTCTGGAAAATAAAATGAAAATTAATAAAAATTCATTAAATTTCATTAATTTATAAATATTTATATACAGTTTCTACTAATAACTATTTTTATGTAGGCTTTTCTAAAACATCATTAAAGCCATTTTATATACATTTTTAATTAAAAATTTTACCACTATACCCAGACTAACAAATAACAATAATATTAGGGTTAATTTATTTTATTTTTTCGCATGTTTCTAGTCCATTAATATCAGGCATTTCGTAATCTACTAAGACCATATCGAATTTATTCGGATATTATTTAATATATTCGATAGCTTTTAAAGGTTCTAGGAATGAAATAGCATTTATAAATTTATTATTATTAAAGTTTTATTAATATTAATTTAAAATAAATTAATTATCATCAATAAAAGCTATATTTTTTATTTTATTAAATTTGGTAGAACCTACATTATCAAAAATACAGGAATCTGCTTTTGATAAATTATTAATGACATAATTTGTTTATTTTTTAAGTTAACTTTAACTACTATTACTTCTAGATGATGATATAATTTCTTTGCTTTCTTTTGATTATAATTAATTATATTAACCGATACATGGTATATAAAATACAAAAGCCGACCCGACATTTTTTTTGGAATAAAATTTAACTTCACCCCCCATTTAATTAATTTATTATTTGCAAGAATATAATCCTACTCCGGAACCCCCATAGTTTTATTTAGTAGATTTATTTCCTTAATTATATATCTGAAAGATATTTTTTTATTCTTCGCTTTCTATTCCAATACCTGTATCTAGCATTTCGAATTTTAAAAAGCCTTGAATGTTCCCATTATTGTTTTTATATTATTTATTAAATATATAGTCTCTAATTAAAGGGTGTACGAAGTTTTTTTCTTTAGAGAATATTTTATAATATTAACTTCTATTTCTTTAGTATCTTTTTTTTTTATATATTATCTCTTATTAGATAGTATTTTAGTTATTTTTTACATCAAATAAGGTATGATTAGTGAAATTTTTAGGTCTATTATGTAAAAAAAAGTTCGAATTATTAGATGTGAAGTTTTCGGAATAATCTGATGTTTTTGTAGATTTCGAGCTCATATTTTATTCTTCTTCTGTACTTTCTATTTTATTTTCGTTAAAATCAATATGCTTTATGTAGTCGAAAATACTTGTAATAGAACAAAGATTAACTAAATTTTCAGGTTTATTTTCTTCGAAACTTACTATCAATTTTACAAAACCTTTGTCCGTAAATTTCGAAGCATTTGAAAGTAAATTTTGTAGAATTGAAGTTAATTCTAGTTTGGGAATTTAAACTGTTTTAGGCATACTTTGTTATACTACTATTTAGTAGTCTATTTAAGGCTTTTAATCTATTAAACACTAATTTTATTACCAAAAATTTTCCAAATAAATGTTAAAATCTACGCTTTAAGTATCTAGGCTTTATTAAATTTGGATTTTATTTTCGTTTTCTTATTATAATTGTAAGAGTATTTTTGAGATTTGAATATTCATTTAATTGATGATGTTTTAAATAGTGTCTATGTAAGATAAATTGAATTGTTCAGTTTTGATTTAATCGATAAATGAGGAAATTTATTATAAGGAATTTCTTAGATCATGGGCAAATATAGGTATTATATTAAGTATCTTTAATTTCAATGACATGTTTTTTTTTTATTGTAATTATTTATTTATTATTTTTGCTATAGAAATAAAAAATAATAATTTGTTATTATTATTTCGAAAAATTTAAAAAAATTTATTTTTGTTACTTTTATAAAAATTCAAAAATATTAAATTTTTTATTATTTTATAAAAAATATAAAACAAAATTATTTTTTGTAATATTTTTATTTAGAAAAATAAATTAAATTTTCTAAAATTTTAATAATAAAAATAATATAAAAAAAAATTATTATTTAATTATTATTAAATATTTTTATATATTTGTCTATTTTATTAAATTATTATTATTAAATATGGGAATTTTTAATTATATAATACAATTTTAATAAAATTTTGTATAAAAATAAAAATCTACGAAAGATTAAAATATATATATTAGTTATTAAAAAAAAAAAATTAATAAAAATATAAAATAAAATAATATAATATAATATAATATAATATAAAAATAAAATAAAAATAATTTATATATATATTTAAACTTTTATTTAATTTAAGATATAAAATAAATATAAATATATAATTATAATAGATTATAAAATTTTAATAATGATTATTTTAAAATATAAAAATTAATTCTTGTATTTATTTTATTAAGGTTAAAAATTAAATTACATTTAATTTAAATATTTTTACAATTTAAAAAGATTAAGAATATCTTATTTAATAAAAGAATATAAAAAATATATAATTACATATAAAAAAAATTTAAATATTAAATAATATTTATATATAAAATATATATATAAATATATTATATATATATATATTTATATATATAAATTTAAATATCTAATTTTTTTATAAATATTTAATAATTATTATAAACAATTATTTATTATTTATTTTTTATTTATATAAAATTGTTTTATATATTTTTTTATTTTTAATTACTTTAACATATTTTTATATTAATTTGATTTTTAGAAAATAATATTAAAATTATATATATTATTCTTTTTATTTTTTATTAATATATACATATTTATAAAAAAATATAACTATTACTAAATAAATATTTATATCATTTATTTATTAAGTATAATACTTAATGTTATAATTTAATAATTTTATTTTAATATATAAGTTTTATATAACTATTTGAAAAAAAAGTATAATTTATAATTATTATATTTTATTTATTTATTTATTTTTTAAAGAAAAAATTTTAAAAAAAAAAAATATTTTTAATAAATAATAATATTAAAAAATATAAACAAATTAAAAAAATAATGAGTTAATAAAGAGGAATAGGAACTAATGTAAATTTTAAAGTATTTGCTCGTATAAAACCAATAGAAATTCAAAACAAAATTATTGAAATTAACTAAGATAATACTGTAATAATAAAAGACAACTCATCAAAATATAAAGACAAAACAACTTTTTAATTTAATGGAGCATATGATATAACAGTAAATCAATAAACTGTATGGGCCAATACATGTGAACCTTGCATTTTAAAAGTAAATAAATACATATATATATATATATATATATATATATATATATATATATATATATATATATATTTTGTAATAATTATTAATTTTTTTATAAATTTAAATATTTATATTAATAATTCTGTATTAATTTTTTTTATTTATTTATTTATTTGTTTTTATAATTTATATTTTTTTATTATATATATATATTTCTTTTTCTTTTAATAATTATAATTAGGCAATAGAAGGTCATAATAGCTGTATTTTAGTAAATGGATAAACAAATAGTGGTAAAACATATACTTTATATGGAGAAGATGAAAGATATTATATTAAATCTACATCAATATTTAATGGTGTTAAAAAAGATAGAAGAGGACTTATTCCTAGAACAATTGAATATTTGTTTAGAAAAAGTTAAGAATTAGAAGATATTAGAGAATTTGTTATTAGTTGTTCAATAGCTGAAATTTTTTTGGATTAAGTTAGAGATTTGGGAAAAGCAGTTATTTATAATTAATAAGATGTAGAAATTAATTAAGGTAATTAAGATATATAAATATGTTTATTAGAAAAAACGAATAATTTTATAAGAAATTAAAAAATATAATACAAATTTAATTATTTTTTTTTATATATTTTTTTAAAAAAAATAATATCAATAAAAAAAAAAATATTTAAATGATATAAATATATTTATTTAAGTTTTAAAAGAAAATTAAAATATAAAAGAAAAAAATAAATTATAAATATTTATATATATATATATATATATATATATTTGTAATTTATATTTATATATTATTATTTATAATTATATCTATTAATATATTTTAAATTTATACATTTTTATATATATATTTATTTATATTTTAAATTTTTTAGTTAATGATATGTATTTTAATGAAAATTTAACTATTTATGAAAATACTAATGGATAAATTGTTGTGAAAGATTTATATTATTATTAAATTAATAAAGTTAGTGATGTATATGAATTTATTTAATAAGCAGTAATAATTAAATAAAATATAATATTTATTTTAAACAAATTTCAAAAAGTTTTTGTTAAGGGAAAAGATTGATAATAAAAATACATGTTTATGGTAAAGAGCACATACAGTATATTTTATTTTTTTAAACTAAAAACATAAAAATAATATAAAAAATTTGTAATATTTTAAAAATAAGATTTTCACTATAAATATTGTTTAAAAAGATAAAGAGAATGAAAATATACCGTTTATGAGCTCTTTAATGTAGTTTGTTGATCTAGCTGGTAATTAAAAAATAGCTAAAAGCATAACAGAAGGACATAAATTTTAAGATGCAGTTTTAATTAATTAATAATTAACATCTTTAGGAAAAGTAAATATTATATAGATAAATTAAATTATATTAATTAATTATTTATTGAATATTTTTATATTTAATTATAAAATATTAAATAAATTTGTACAATTAATAAAAAATAATATTAGTTAATACGATTTTTAAAGTTTAAATTATAATAAAAAAAAATTATAAAAAAATAAATTAAAATATAAAATAAAAAATATAAAAATATTATATTAATTATTATATATTTATATATATATATATATATATATTCATTTAGTGTTTACAATAAATTGCAAAATCAAACAAATCAATTCCTTATCGAGAATCAAAATTAACTCGTATTATATAAAATTGCTTAGGAATATCATCTCATGTTATATTAATAATTACCTTAAATCCTGATGAATAATTTTTTGAAGATTCTTTATCTACACTTTAATTTGTAGAAAAGATAAAAATATTTTAAAATAAAAACTAAAGTGGGATTATTTAAAATAACTTTGCAAATTGTTCAAATGAAAATTAATTTGAATAAGAACCAACAAATAATGTAAATGATTAAATGCTTAAAGGATTAAGAGATTAAATATAAGAATTGATGGATAAAATCGAATATATAAAAAGAGAGCATAGTTAAAAAATGTCCTAAATTTAAAATCTATTAGGCTTAGAAGTTGATTTAGATAAATTATTATCAAGATCTTCTCAAAAAGACTTACAATAATTTAAAATGTAAAGAGAAGCTGTCATAAAAATTGAAAATTTTTAAAAAATAAACTAAGAACTAGAAAATAAAATCGAAAGATTAAAAAAATGTATAGAAGAAAATAGAGATGAAGAATTTAAAAAATAAGAAAAATAATCATGTCAAATAATAGAATATATGGAATTGATAAGAAAAATAAAAGATTAATAAAACATGAGCAAAATGAAAACTATAGAGTCAATAAGAAAAAATATTTAAGAAAGAGAAAAAGAACTGGAATTAATGAATAAAAAATAATAAATTTTAAATGAAGAAAAATAAAATATGATTAAAAATCTACCTGACAATATAAAAAAATTAAATTTACCTATTAAAAATTATAATATAGTAAAATAATAAACATTGATTTAAATAGAAAGTTAATCTGATGCATATTTTAAAAAAATATAAAAATAGTACGAAAAAATAATAGAAGTAACTAAATAATAATAAGAATATATCCTCAAAAATTAAAATCTAGAAATGGAATAATTATAAGAATAAGTAAAATTATATAGCTAATAAAAAAAGTAATTATAAAAATAAATTAATTAATAAATATAAATATAAATTTATTTATTTATATTTTTTATTTCATTTGTTTATATATTATATTTTATATTATATTTATATATATATATATATTTATTTATTTTTTAACATAATTTTTTTTTATTATTTTAATAGATAATATTTAATTTAACTTAAATAAGAATTTATTAATTTATATGATATTGTTTAAACTTAAAATCGTATATTATCAAAAATTTAAGTAATTACTTTAAAATAATAAAATATATAATAAAATATAGATTGGATAATACAGTGGATGTAAAAAACCATTTAAAATACCTGTTAAAGACAATCCTGATATGCCTAACCGTTAAGAATTTATATCGTATAAAAATAAAAATACAAAACAAAAATAAATAAAATAGATTATTTAAATTATTAGATTAAAGACATTTAAAATCATAATAATCTAAAGGTATAAATGACTTTGCAAACATCGATGCAAACTCAGTAAGTAATATAAACGTAACATTTGGCGGTGGAAGAGGATTTTAAGAATAATCTGAATAATAAAAATCTAGTTTTGTTCCTTAGTTAGAAATAAAATAATCTAATACAGTTTCTTAAAGTACAGAATAAAATTAAGAAAAAGCTTTCTTTTTAATTAATAGATTAAGTGCTGCTTAAAGTATTATGTTTACTAAACAAAAATTTATTAAAGAAAAATAAGATTCAATACATAGCGATTTAATTATAAAAGAAAAAAAAATTATTACTGAACTTGATGTCGATTCTTAAATTAATTTAAGTTAAATTAAAGGAGAATCTGATTTTTCTTAATTAAAATAACTTGCTAATATTTTAAAAGATTCTTTATAGTAGATTTTTTAAAAAAAATATTTTAAATTTTTTTATTATAAAAAAAACATAAAAAGAGTAGCTATATAAAGAGAAAAAAATTTAAAAGAAAAAGTTAAAGAATTCGAATTTATTAATAATGAAGTTGATATTAAGTCTATTATTAAAGAAAGAGATGAATATAAATCATTATATAATTAAGAAATTAAAAAAAGTAATGTTGTTTCAAGAAATTATTCCTCTTAAATTAATGATACTTCTTAAAGGAAGTTTTTTATAACTTCATTAAATTAATAAACTATTGATAAATATAATTACTCTGTGAATTTTAGTAGGCCTAATACAAATTTTTAACTTACTAGATAAGATAAAAATATTCCTTAAATAAAAAAATGATTAACTAATTTATTTTAAAAACAGATAATATAAAAAAAAATATAAAAATATATATATATAAATATTTATATAATGAAAAAAAAAAAATTATAAATTTTTATTAAATAACAAATATAAATTGCCATTAAATATAAAATATCAATATAAAGCAATATATACTTTAAAAAATAAAACTTCATGATATTAAACTTTTAATAAAAAAAGTATTTCCTTCTTCATTTAAAACAAGAAAAACTTCTTAATTTTCTACCTTCAACAACTGAAACATCTTCTTCAACATTAATCCAATATTATGTTAAAGTATTAACATCTTCGGGTTTATTAATATCTAATTTAGTCCATTAAGTATATTCTAAAGAAGGATTTTCTTTCATTTCTTCAGGCATTTTATCTCCAACAAATAACCAAACGCCATAAATTTCAAGATTGGGTTCATCGCCATATACACTATAAGTACCAAATGCTACTTTTCTGGCAGCTTCACACCTTTAAATGAATGCACTTTTAAGATTATTGAATTAATATAAGACAGTACCTTCTCCTTCATATTTATCATAATGAGCTTTATATAAGCAAAGTTTTCCACTAGTCCAATTTTCGATTAAAAATTTAACAGCTTCATTTTTATCTTTTGCGTTCGTATATAAAGTCTTGAAATTATAAAGATCAAATCCACCTTATTATTATTCTTAAGCAGGTTCTTATGTTTGCTTATTAGTTGACTATTATTATTATTTAACAGGGGATTTTTATTCTTTTTATTTCTCGTCTTTTTTTTATTATTATTATTTTTAAACAGCAGCAGGAGGCACTGTTCCTTCTTTTTTTTTATTTTCTTTCTTTTCTGGTTAACTAGCTACCCATTCAATTATTGTATATCTTAATTTTCCGATATATTTTACAAATTGAGGTAATTAAGCAATACTTTCATACCAAGCAACTACATGTTTAATTGTTTATCTATATTTTTCATCAAAAATAGTTCTGAAAGCATAAGATAAGTAAACAGCATATTAAATATCAGCAATAGTAACTTCAGTTCCAGTCAAATACTTTGATACTTTTAATCTATCTTCGATTATTTTCAAAACTGTCTATACTTCAGTCTTAGCTGCTTTATATACTTCCTTATCGAATTAAATACAACCAAACACAGGACACGTTAAAGCAAGTAATGGAGGTGCTAATTCATTTTGGAATATATCTAAGTATTAGTCAACTAAAGCTTATTAGTATAATGAAGATCCGTAAAGCTTATGGGATTTACGGGCTAAATGACGAACTATAGTATTTGTTTCAAATATAAAACCTTCAGTGGTTTCTAATACTGGAACTTTTCCTAAGGGGTTTTTTTGTAAGAATTCTTTGGTTTTACTATCAGAGTATTCCATGTCTATATGTTTGATCTCAACACCACATAAATCAGCTGTTATTAAGATTTGGTTTGCACGGAAGTTTCCTACAGGGCAATAAAGTTTTAAGGACATTTTTTTTATTTTTAGATATATATATTTTTTTATTTAATTTTTTTATATAATATCTTTTTATGAAAAAAATATCTTTTTTTATTATTTTTTAAATAAATAAAATTTTATAATTTATAAAATTTATAATATTTGTTTATTTTTATTGTTATTGTTATATATTTTAAATTAAAATAATTTATATATATAATATGTAACTTTTTTCTATTTTTTTTATTTTTAATATTTTTAAAAAAATAAATATATATATTTAAATAAATAAAAATTATAAAAAAAAATGGCAGATAAAAGATATACATTTATAGTTGAATGGTTTGATACTAGTGCTTCACTAATAAGGACATATAATTTAATTTATTATTTATCAGACAAAACAATTGAAATGGTAATAAAATAATTAAATAGATATATTATGCTATTAAAATCTCTAAAAAAAGTATGATTTAAAAAATAAAAGAGTTTTCTTAAAAAAAAGCGAATATACAATAAACGAATCTGAATTTTACTTAGGATCAGTATTAACTATATATTCTAGATAGCTTAAAATAACTAATTTTGCAGATATTTATACCCGTTAAATTTTTTAAAATAAAAAAGAAAAGTAAAAACAAAACAAAACAAATAAAATAAAATATAAAAAACAAAAAAGAACATTCGCAATGATAAAGCCAGATGCATATAACTAAATAGGAAATATTTTATCAATAATCGAAAAAAACGGATTATAAATATCAAATATAAAAATGACTAAAATGTAATTATAAGATGCTGAAAGTATGATTATTAAAAAAATAAAATAAAAATAAATATATAGAATTCTATGAGGAACATAGAGGAAAACCTTTTTATGAAACACTTACCTAATTTATAAGTAGTGATTTAGTAGTAGGTTTGGAATTAGTAGGAGATGATTCAATAAAAATATGGAGAAATTTATTAGGACCAACAAATACGCAAGTAATAAAAAAAGAAAAAAAAAAAATATGATAAAAAAAAGGTAGCAAAATAAAAAAACCCATAAAGTATAAGAGCATAATATGGAACTGATGGAACTAAAAATGCATGTCATGGAAGTGATTCTCGTATAAATGAAAAAATATATATATATAATTATAAAAATTTATAAATAAATATATATAATATAATATATATTTATATATTTATATATTTATATATATATATTTATTTTTTATTTTATTATTATAAATATTAATAATTAGATTCAAGTGCTTTTAGAGAATTAAACTTTTTTTTTTCTGATTAAAGTAATTTAAAGCCTTCAGCTTTATTATCAAGTTGCTCATGTTGTATTATTAAGCCTCATATTATTAAAAGTCTTTAATTAGGTTAAATTATTAATACTATTTTATTATAAGGATTCTAAATTACTGGAATTTAATCGTTCTTTTTAGATAGACCTACTTCCGATGAATTTTATGAAGTTTATAAAGGTGTTTTACCTGAATATAATGGTTTGTCAGAACATTTAACTAGTGGTATGAGTGTTGTTCTTGAAGTTAGATAGTAAAATTCCGTTTAATAATTTAGAGAATTATGTGGACCCCATGACCCTGAAATTGCTAGAACTTTAAGAAGCAATACTATTAGAGCTTAGTTTGGTGTTGATAGAGTAAAAAATGCTGTTCATTGTACCGATTTAGATGAAGATGGTATTTTGGAAGTAATTAATTTTTTTTCTTTATTTGTTTAATTACTTATTTTTTTTAATATAAAGGTAGAATATTTCTTTAAAATATTACAAAAATGAATAAATTATTATATTTTTTTTATTTTATATTAAAATTAAATTAAAATTTATTCGTATTCGAATATATTTATTTATTATTTTTTATATAAATTTTTACAAAAAATAATTTATTATTAAATAAAAAAATAATATATTTATAATTTTTAAAAAAATATTAAATAATTATTTATAAAAATATCAAGTTATAAAATATATTAATAATATTTTTAAAATTAAAAATAAAAATAAATAATTAAAATAAAAAATTATGTAATTGTAATTTTATTATGTAATTGTAATTTTTTAAAATAAATTAAATTATTATTTATAAAAATAATAAATTTATAAATTATATTAATAATTTTTTTTTAAAAAAAAATAAAAATTTAAATTAAAATATTTTAATTAGTTTTATTTTATCCTTTTATTAATTATCACTAATAATTATCAATATTTTTTTTTTAATTATTATAATTATTAAAATTATTTGTATAAATAGATATATTTCTAGATAATCCAGTACTAAAGGAATTAATTTTTTACTAATGTGAAATAATATTATAATTATTACTATTTATATTAATAGAAAGACTTTTAATTTTTTAAATTTAATTACATGAAAAGCTTTTATTACTAATTAAACTACAATTTAATTTATTAGATTTTTACTTATTATAAAATTATTAAATTTATTATTAATTTTAATAAATAAAAGGACTAGAAAATAAATATTAATAATTTTTATTGATAATTTTAAAATTATTATTTTTAATGTTATTATTATTATTATTATTATTATTTTTATTATTATTATTATTATTATTTTTAATATCATTTTTACAGTTATATATATTTTTATCATTTTATACTTTATTATATTTATTAAAATTTTATAAATTATTTCTTTAATTTTAACTATAATTTTTTTTAAGCAATAATTTAGTTTTTCCCTTATTTGTTATTAATTTTATTTAAATTATATATTAGATGTTTATTTTTTATAATTTTAATAGAATTTAATATTATCAAAGCATTTTGATTACATATTTTTTATTTTGTTTTTATTAGATAATATTTTTTTTAAATATATTGTTTATATATCTTAATTTATTTATATGTTTTTTTGTTATTAATTTTTCAATATATTTTCTATTTATTTTTTAAAAATTTTATTATTAGTAATTATATTTATATTTTCATTTTCATTTTCATTTTCATTTTAATTTTCAAAAATTTTTTTATACTTGTAATATTTAAAAGGAATTTTATTTTAAAAATTTTTTTTTAAATATTCTAATTTATTTTAATAATATAAATTAGTTTTTGACATTAATATTTTATTAATATATTGTTATTCATAATTATTATTTGGATTTTCTTTATTAATTATTTATTATAGGCATATGTTTATTATTTATTATTCATAAACATCCTTAACAAAATTTACTTTTAAATTATTTTCTAAAGATTATTCGTTTTAAAAATGATTTTTAAAAATCTTTATATTAAAATAAAAATAATATAAAAAAAATATAATAATAAAAAATAAAAATAGTTTTACAAATAATTTAATAAATTATTAAAAAAAATTATAGTAAAATAAAATTTATTAATAATATATATATAAATATATAAATATAAATATAAATATAAATATAAATATAAATATATATATTAATATAGTAATATGTATATACTTTTTCTGATAATCTATATAAAACTGCTTTTACCGAAATTACTTTAGCCTGAGAAACTCTATATTTAATACCTTTTATAATTTCTTTTTATCCAAAATATTAATTTTCACTTAAAATTATAGTATTTATTCTTTTTGTTTTATTTTCTTTTTCTTTTATTTATTTACATTTATTTAATATCAACAAATCATGATCAATTTAATTTTCTTCATTATCTTAATTTATGCTTTTATTTTCTTAATTTTCTAATAGTTTATTATTTATTATAATATTTTTTGATAATTCAATTTACCCCTATTTAATAAAATATATAAATTTTGAATTATTAAATTCATTATATATGATATTATTTATATCATATGATATTTCTTAAAAATGATTTATATAAATCTTTATTTTTTATTTCGAAAAGCTTTTAAAAAAGCTAAACTATTATAAAAACTAAACTTTTTCTTCTAACAACTAATTTTAATATTTATAAAGAATATTATTATAATGTTTAAGACTTAAGTACGCCACAATTCCTTTTTCCTTAGCTAAAAAGCCCTAAGAGATAATTTATTTATCAAGCTAATCTTTAGCCGACTACCCGAATTATTAACCAGATTTAAGAATCTGTTATAAATGCATATTTTTGAAATATTATTTTATTAATATTTATTATTCGTTAGATTATTCTTATTATATAAGTTTTTTTTTTTAATAAAATTAATAAGAATCTTGTTTTCCTTCAATATTTCTTTCACATATAATTTCATTTACTAAATTACTATTAGAATAATTACCATTTTATTACTAGGTATTATTTATATTTTCAATAGAATCTTATTCTTTTCTTATTATAAAATTACTTTAATTTTTACTCCTAAATTAACTTGTTAATTTTTAATTATCTAAGGAATAATTAAAATCATGTTAATCATGTTCGTTCGTTATATTTTATTAAGCATATTCTTTCTATTTTGGTGTGCAGCTTTAATATTTTTATTAATATTATAACTCTAAGTTTTTAAATTAGTTAAATTGCATTACTTCTCCTTCTATTATTATATAAAAGTTATTTTCTCCAGTCATTTAATTTTTGTTTTTTGCTATTTTTTTATAATAATTTTTATATATGTATTATTTTTTCTTTTTTTCTCTTTTTTTTTTTAAAATGTATTACTACATTATATGAAAAATAAATGGTTTTTATTAAAATTTAATATTTTTAAGTTTTTTAAAAGTTTCATGTATATCTCATAAGGTAATTTATTTTTGATATCTTAAAAAAAATGAATTCTATCTAAAAAAAGTTCTATAAATTACAATTACTTTTAAGACTTTATTTTTTTTTGTACTAAATTTCCAAATAACTTGTTTATTTTTTAAAAAAATGATTTTTTTTTTAAGACTATAATATACTAATTTTACATTAATTGTTTATTATTCTTAATGATTAAAATCATTTGTTTATATATAATAATCAAGCATAATATCGTTTTATAACTTTTAAGTTAAAGCGTACATTTTTTTTTAATATTTGTAAAAATTGCAATTTCTTAAATAAAAGTATACAGTTCGTTAATATTTATATATAAATAATTTATAGTTTTTTTTTTTTTTTCTAAAAAATAAATACAAAATCAAAAATATTTTTATAATAAATATAAATAATTATTTAAATTAAATAAAATATATAAAAAAAGATGGAACTGAATAATGAATATTTAAGAATAATATCTAGTGATGAAAGAGAGTTTTATTTTTCTAGGGATGTAGCTTAATTATGCAATTACTTTCGTGAATAAATTAATATACAATAAAATAATCCATAAAGAGGAGAATATATAACAATAACATTAGAAATGTATGGAGAAGTAATAGAGGCAATAATTTAATATCTACATTATAAATATAAACATATGAATGCAAAGGATTTAAAAAAAATACCAGAGTTTATTTTAAAACCACATTTAGCATTAAGTGTTTTAAATGCATCTTTAGATTTAAATATATGAATTAAATATTTTTATAATTTAAGTTATTTTTTTTTATTCGGAAATAATATATTATAAAATTTCTTTTAAATAATTAAATTTTTTTATATTATTTTAATAAAAAAAAATTATTTAATTATTTTAGATTTAAATATAAATATTATTTAATAATGAATTTTTTTTTGACTTTCTTTATTTTGTTTTTGTTAAAAAATTTATATCTATTTATTATAAAATAAGACTAGAATATTGAATTAAAACTGCAAAACTATCAACAATTATTTAAATTTAAAGAAAGGATTAATCTATAAAATAAAAAGAAATAGTTATAAATTAAATAATTTATGAATAAATATAAATATATATATATACCACTTAGAAAAAATAAATAAAATAAAACATTTAAAATATTGATAAAATAAAAAAAGCAAAAGAATAATTAATAAAAGAAGTACAAACATTATTTACAATAAAAAAAAATATTAATATTAGAAACATATATTTCATTAGAAAATTAAATAATATATAGATAATTGATAAAAAATATAAATTGAATATATTTTATTTTATAAAATAGAAAAATAATTTATTTATAAAAACTTAAATAAAATAAATTTAAAACACATAATAATTTTTTTTTTTAATTAAATAAATATTTAATATATATATTAAAATAAGTATTTATAAAAATTAATAAATTTATTTTTTCTTTAATAATTTTTATCAAAATATAAAAATATATATGTCAAACAACAATAAAAATTGTATATATAATTATTCAATTTTCAATATAAACTATATCAGAATCCTCTTCTTAAATAGCGTAAAGAATAGTTTAAAAGAATCCTTTTTTATTTTGAATCATATTTACTTTACATTTTTTATTTTTTTTAAGTGGAATATCCGCATTTCTTTTTTCATTACCATCCCTTAAATCTATTTCTTGAATTTATTATTGATCATTACTTAATTTTTCTAAAAATTATTTTTTGAAAGAATCTTTATCAATGGCTTATCTTTACAACTTAACTTAATTAAACATTTGAGTAGCTTGTTTTCTAATCATTTCTTATTTTTATTTTTTCATCATGGCCTTTTTATTAAAACAAATAATATTAATTTTTCGTATCCTAAATAAAATATTTCACAAATTCCGTTTATAAAATATTCTCTTATTATAATGCATGATTTAAATAAGACTCTAATTTTTGCCTTCTTTTTTCTACAGAATCTGGATTTTCGCTAGTAATTCCAAATATTTTCCTTGAAGGAAATTCAATTAAATATTTCTTTAATTTATTATCTAATAATGTTTAATGGAAAGTCTTTAAAGCCGAATATCTTGTTTTATATATCCATTGCTCATTATTTTATAAATCTCTAAATGTACAATAAAAATAAATAGCTTAATATATATATGTATATCTATCTATAACTACATGTATTCCTATAGAATTTTATATTTTATTATTATTTATAGGATTTAAAGATTATTTTTAATTTTCAGTTTCCAAACTTAGATTCGAAATTCCTAATTAAGATCTTTAATTAAAAAAACTTTTTATACCTTCTTCTTGATTATTTGCTATTTAAAGAGTGATTCCGAATTTAGGAATTATTTCTTTCATTAAATCTAAAGATTATATTTTATTTATTTTTAAAAGATCATAAAAATATTACTATAATTCAATCTTCCTATTTATGATTTTTTATTCATCCTTATTTGTTTTATTTATTAATGATCGACCTGGAAATATTGGCAAATATACATCTAAACGATATTCCTTTACTTTTTTTTCTAATTTTACATGTAAATCACGCATATCGGAGTAACTTTTACGCATTGAATTTACAGCTCCGGTTATTCTGTTTATTATTAGCAAATAATATATTATTTTATTGTTTTTGTCTCTTCTATATATTGAAATTTTGGATTCATATGTATTATTGGAATGCATTTTTTTTAACGATTTTCTTTACAAAATAATACTATTTTTTAATTATTATAAAAAAAAATAATAATTTTTTTAGTTACTTTATATTAATTATTTTGAATTTAAAAAGTTTTATATACTATGTGATTAAAATTTTTTCATATTATATATATATTATTATTTGTATTTAAAATAAATATTATGTTATGTTTGAATTTTCTATTTAAAAAAATTAACTTAAAATAATATGATAAATTTTAATATATATTTAAAATTAAAAATAGTTTACAAATTGTTATTTAATACATATATTTTTTTAAATATATGATTTTAATTATTTAAATTTTAAAAAAAAAAATATAATATAAAGCATCATTTTGCATGAAAATAATTTATTTTCCTAATATTAATTTTGATAAAATTATTATTAAATAAATTAATAATATATAATAGCGTTTATTTAACTAAATAAATATTATTATTATAAAAATTATATTTTTATGTTTTATATTAATTTTTTCTTTTTTTAAAAAAAATAATTAATTTAGATAAAATAAAATAAAATATCCTATAATAAAAAAAAATGTAATAGCAAACAAATTTTTTTTAAAAAAAGTATAAAATAAAAATAATAATTAAATATATTAAATTAAATGAAATAAATAAAACAGTAAAAATATATGATAAAGATAAATTAAAGATTGAAAAAATAAATAAAAAATAAAAAAATAGTATTATATATTTAAAAGGATATATTAAAAAGTAAAATTTATTTAAGGAAATAAAAAGACAGAAAATATTATTAAAAAGAATTTTTTTTAAAAAAAATACAATATAAAAAAATTAATTTAAAAAGATTTTTAAATAAAATAAATTTAATAAAAATAATAAATAATAATAATAAAAATAAAATATATATTTATATAACACATATATAATTATTTATTTATATATTTTTTATTTATATATTTATTAAATATATATTTAAAAACATATCTTTTTTTATATATATTTTATTTCTATCTATCTATATATTATCTTAAATTTTTATAAGATTTTTTATATAATTTTTTTCTTTTCATAAAATTCATTTTTATCATTTAAAATTAAATATTAAAAATAATTGATTTAAGGATAATATGTATAATTTGAAAGCAATCTAATGTTTATTATTATATTATTTAATTGTTTTTTTGTTTAAAATATATAAATTTTTATGAAATAAATTTAATATCCATAAATAATATAAATTTATTTATTTAAAATTTATAATTATTCGAAATATGCCTTAACAATTTATTGTAAAGATAATAAGCATCTTATATCCTTAAAATATTTGTATATATATATTTATTTATAAATATAATAAATATCCAAAATTAGTTTTATTTATTTATATATTAATTATTTTTGTATATATTTATTAATTTTTATTTAAAAAATATTTTTTAATATATTTATAAACTTTTTTTCAAAAATAAAAAAAGTATTATACATTTAATATACAATTTTTATAATTTAAAAATATAAAACTTTTAAATTATAATTATAGTAAATATTAAATATTCTATATTTAAAGAAATAAAATATACAAGTATTAAATAATATTTTTTTTATAATTTTAAAATATTTATAAATAATATATGAAATATTTATTAAATATAATTATTTTTTATTTAAATATTAATTTATTAATAATTAAAAAATTGTATTTAATTAATATATTTTTAATCCACATATTTTATATATTTATAAAATAAAATATCATCTTATTTAATAAAATCTATTTAAATTATCATTTAATTATTATTAATATTAAATAAAAAGCAAATAAAAATAAAATGTATATTAAATTAAAACATAAAAAAAATCAAAGCTAAATTATAAAATAGTTATTAACATTAAATAAAAAACAAATAAAAATAAAATGTATATTTAATTAAAACATAAAAAAAATCAAAGCTAAATAAAATAGTTCGATTGGATATCCACAAAAAAAAGGTTGAAAATAATTTTCAAATTTTATGTATCCTTAGGTGATAAATAGAATTTTACTTTTATCAAATCTAATGTATTTATGAAATTTATATCAGATATAATTCTCCAAAATGAACAATTTACAAGTGCAAACCTAAATTTATTATATATACAATATAAAGAAAACAAATAATATATGAACTTTGACCAATTTTGTTAAATAATATATAAAATCTCTTAAATAGAATATTAATATTATGATAATGATTAAAGATTTGCTCTTTTTATGAAAGAAAGGTTAAATAATTTATTTTTCTAAATTATTTAAGACACAGAATTTGGACATTTTTATGAAATTCTATTTTAAGAATTGGATTAAAATTGTATTTTGATGTGTAAGAAAAACGAAAAAAACTTAAGAAAAATATATCATGTAAAAATAAAAAAATATATTTTATTTAAAAAATAAAAAAAAGTAATACTTTAAACCTAATTACGATTCAAATATGAGTTAATGTTTGAAAGAATTTAATTTATTTTTAAAAGAGTATGATTTTTTGCCATAATATATTAAATAAAATTAAATTTGTGAAATTTTTGAAAGTTTATTTGATAATGATTGCTAAATAAAAATTACTTTTAATGACGACCTTAACTATTTGTTTACTTTTAATATTTTTATTGCCTTATTGATTAAACTTTCTTTAATTATATTCGATACTTTGGAAAATACTTCTAATATATAAAAATTAAACGCTCTTTTTTAACATATGGAAAACTCTCATACATTTGATAGTTTTAAACATCAAAATAGAAAAATTTATTTAAAAATTTCTCAAAATGAAATTGATGATGTAAAAAAATAATTTTCTTTTTAATTAAAAAATTATTAAAATATATATATATATATATATATATATATATATATATATATATATATTTACCAAATAGATAATCGAGGAAGAAAATTTAAAAAAAACAATAAAAAAGAATTAAAAAAATGACAAAAATTAATTTTCTATAACTAAAAAAGAACCAGAAAAAATAAATAATAAAATTGAATAGTAAAAATAATAAGAAGAATTAGAATAAACAATAAAAATAAAAGAAAATTTAGAAAAAGAAAAAAAATATAAAAAAGTTTTTAATTATTTTAGTTAATTTAATATTTAACCTTTTCTTAAACTAAAAGATATTAAAAATTTCTTAAATAAATTAAACTAGGTAAGCAAAAATAAGTATTCTATAAAAAAATCTACTCTAGAATGTCTATTTGCTTTAATGAAAAAATCTTCTTAAAATTTTAAAGATAAAAATTAGTTTGATTTTAATGATTTTAAATTATTCATTAAAATATTTTTAGAAAGGATATCAAAAGAATAAGAAGAGAAATAAAAATAATAAGATAATTAATAATATGAAGAAAAAAATTAAATACAAGAATAACTCTATATTTATATATAGATTTTTTTACAATAGATTGATTAAGAATAATGCTAATAATATGAAAAATATCTCGAATAATTAAATAATATAACCTAAAATGAAAATCTGTATTTTTTAGTTTAAAATATGAGAGATTTTTGTAAAAAATTATTTGATAAATATACAGATGTTAATAATAATTAAATATTAAATAAAAAATAATTTATGAATATTTTTATTGATTTAAAAGTCTATAATTCTGTTCTCTCTAAATTTTAAATTTTAAAGTTATTTAATTTTGCTAAATATATTTTTGAATTGTATTAATAGTAATGTCTTAATATTCAAAAAAGAGAATTAATTATTTAAGATTCTTTTTTTAAAAGCTGTTATTTAACAAATGTTTCGAACGAAATTTTTTCTTAAATAAATGATGACATGCATAAGGAAATCGAAGGTATAAACTTTTAATTGTTTTTAGAGTTTATTGTATATATAGCTCAATAATGCTTTTATTTTTAAGAGAAAACAGAATATGAAGTAAATAAAAGAATATATATAATTTATATATATTTTTTTAAATAAAAAGTTATTATTATTTATTGAAAAACATTTTTCTGATTATGATTAAAATTAACTTATTGAAATTAGAAACAGATTTAAATTTTTTTATTTAAATAGGTTTGGATTATAATATTAAAACTCAGTATTATTTTAAAAATAATAGAATTTATAATTAATTGAAATATAGTGATTTTACTCAATTTATTTAAAAATATTAATTCTAATATATTATTTATTAAATAAAACTAATATTATTTAATATATATTAATGTTTTTTTAAAGAAAAAAAATTATATTAAATTTAAACAAGATCATATTCTTATAATTTATAAATTTAAAATATATTAGCAGATAAAACATGTTTTTTTAACACTTTAATTTTGAAATATTTACTTATTTAATTTATTTACACAAATAAAATTAAATTTAAAAATTTAAAAATTAAAAAAAATATATGATTTCATAAAATACAAAAACATATATAAATAACGCATCAACAAAGTGCAAACTTCCATACAGCTAAATCAATAAAAAAAACCAAAATTGTAGCTTAGATGATATTATAAATAAATATCAAAAATCTGTATTAGAAAAAAGTGAAGACAATATCAAATAAAGGAATAATATATAAATAGAAACAATAAAACATAGAGAATCCTCATTTAAAAGTACAAAAAAAGATTTAAAAGCTTCATGCAAATCATAAAACTCTAATGACACTAACTATTATAAATAAAAATATGCTTATATATTTAATTAAAAACAAGCAATTACATTTTCAACTCCAAAAAGTTAAAAAAGTTAAAAATATATTATAAAGAATAAGAATAATAATATATGGGATTTAAAATAATATGATAATTCAAATTAGTCATAAAAATCAAATAGTAAAATTCATTTAATTTTAACACCTGATTCTTCAATGGAAAAAAAGCATTTCTTTTTTTAATAATATGAAAATATCCAAGATAAAAAAACTAAAATTAAACCAGTTTAATAAAAAAAAGTTAAAAAAAACTTATAAGTTTAAAATTCTTAAATATAAAGTTTAAAAAAAG